GAAAAGCTAAAAGCTAGATAATATTCGTAGCAGATTAAATATAAGGAATTTCACAACTCAAACATCAAAAGTGGGCTATTTTTACATAAAAAACCTTTAAGAATTTCGCCCAATTAGAATCGTAAAAGTTTTCGTGTCACGAACACACCCCCAAAAAGCCAGACACACCAGCAAAAAGACAACCCAACCGCCCACAAAAGCCGCACAGATACACGCACTTGACTCGTCTGCCTCGCTCCTAATTTTCCTCATTTTCCTCGAAGCGTGGCAACCGAAATCTATTTTTAGCTCGCCGATTTCCAACGAACAAAAAACAAAAAGGAAGAGGGAAAAAGAAGCGGAAAGCCACAGTCTTGCAGTGCATAATATCCATATCCCCAGAGCTCCACTGCCCCACCTGTAACTTTTTTAGATAAGACGGACGGGGCGAACTGACGCTTAAAGTGTTTCAATGGGGATTGGGGGGAGGGGGTTTTGGGTGGTAGAGCACGCCCACCGAAGGTCTCCAAGGAAGGCTGCGTGGGCCCGTCTTGAGGTCACCTACGCTCACACGCAGATACCACCAATACACACAAGTCCTGGCCCACGCTTGCTTAGCTATTTTTGACCCCACATGGAGAGAAAACAAATAACCATAATAGTTAAAGGGAAATTAAAGGGAAATTATTATTCTTTGTAAGGAATTTTAAATGAGGATATGAGCTAAGGACTTTATAAAGAGTTTAGGATTTTAAACACCGTTTACCTGTTCCAAAAATCCCTTTATTATACAATCTGAGATATTTTAATAATTGTATTATGATTGTAGTGAGGTGTGTTTGAAGTTAAAGCCATTTAAAAGTATTATACAATTGTAAAAGCAGTAAAAACTATTCTGCAAGTATAACTCCAAAGTCTCTCAATTTATAATGACTAATAAATTACTATGTTTATTTTGTCATTAACTATAATTTTTCACTGTGCACTCGTGCAGACTTTGCATATGAAGTGGGGATAGCGAGCGGGGGAGAAGTGGCGGCATTCGCATTTGTTTGGACGTGTCCAAGTTGTCACCTGCGGGTGGCAAAGGTCACGCCCAGGCAATTGCATTACGAGTTGCCAGTCCAATTCAAAGGGCTGTCATAAGCAGTTACCGGCCACCCAGCCACCCAACCACCCACTTAACCAATCCCCAAGAATGTCATCTTTGGCTCACTTTAGCCATGATGACTGCTCTGTGCCCATCGTCATTATCATCACCGACATCTTTGGCTTTATCATGGGTTGTCGGTTGTCGGCGGCAGCCATTCATTGACGACAATTCTATGGGCCAACGATTTGTTTTTGCTAGCTGCGCACATATAGTCGGATATATATATACTCGTATATATATGTATGTATGTAGAGGGCTGTGTCTGTGTGTTTAGGCCATTTCTAAAGACGCTCGATTAATGAGCGTTTTGTATGCGTTGCTCGACCACCGCCTCGCCTCTTGGGTGGTCAACTGCCTCCCTTCCCCCTTTCTGACCACCAACCCCCTCCTCTCCCCATCAGCGACCTCAAACTGAATAAACGGAAGTGAGCTATAGTGGGCGTGGGCTGATCTGGAAAGCCCCATTGAACAAAAAGGGGGTGCAGCTATTGTCTTAGTTTGCTAATGGACAAGATTTGCCAGGAAAGCCTCAAAACGTAGTTAGAGCCATGGAAAAGAGCTTAAACATGCATTCGTCGAGGGGAATACACAAGTGGAATTGTGCAAAATAGTAATCAAATCGGATATCTGTTGATGGGATTTATGACAGTCCAACTATTTTTGTTTAAATGCTCCTTGAATCAGAAGATACTTTGTGGAATAAATGACATCAAAATCATAACCATTTGAAATGTTATATTAATGATAAAAACCTAATACCTAAGGTTTTCGTATAATTACTCCAACTATTTTTGTTTAAATATTCCATGAATCTGAACTGTGTAGAATAAATTACATTAAAATCATAACCATTTGAAATGTTATATAAATGATAAAAACCAAATTTACCTAACTATAACTAATTGAATTATATATAGAAAGAAGCAACATCAAAAAGGTTTTCGTATAATTACTCCATAGACCCATTAATTAATGATTAACCCCAAAAAGATCTTTTATAAGCCCAAAGCCACTTTGAATTTACTTCGTGGTCTTTATAAATCCACTAGTCGTCAGCTCTTTCAATTGCAATTGTGTGTTGGCCCCCACAACAAACACTCTTGTTGTTGATGTTGTTGTGCGATTTATTTTTAAAAATTATAATTTTTAAAAATAAAAAGGCCATTTTTCGCTGGCGTTCTTTCTTTTTTTTCTGTTTTTCTGTTCAGCGTCGGTGCGACGACAAAAATAATGAAAATCACATGTTTGCTTGCGGCATAAAAATGGTTGTTGTTGCTCTCAGTTCAGTTGAGTTTCGGTTTTGGTTTTGGTTTTGGTTTTGGTTCTTGTTGGGCTGTCATTTGGCGTTTTGCTTTGCTGGCAGCGCAAACACATATCTTATAGACACTTTACTATATATGTGCCATGACTATCTATAGGGCACATCTGAGATCCCAGCCCATTGAGGCGTTCTACACCTTCCTCGAGTTCAGTAAATGTCACATGGGGTGGATATATCGCCCGCATTCCACTTGATCTGATCGCCCTGATATATATCTTTTAGTACTCGGCATAGATTGTTATGAGCACTCTGCAGTGCGGTTTCTATGTTTAGTTGAGCCGTTGTTTCAATTATGCCGTCGGTTGTTGTCGTCAGCATCGCACTATATAGTACATACTATATAGTATACTATATATAATGTATCCCCATGGGCCATGCCTGCCTTACATTTTGGTAACAGTTTCGCGATTATCTATTTTTAGTGTTGCGAATGCAATTAATTTGCTGTCATTTCGGCCCCTCGCCTGTTGTTCGTGTAATTTTATTTCTGCTGGCTATTCTTGATATATCCCAAATAAGACAGAGGAAGATATATGCATGGCATGGATGTATATATAGACGAATCGCTATAAATCAGGTGTGGGGGGGGAGCGGATTGATTAAAGGCATACAAAGTTACAGGTGATCTACAAAGTTCTCTGCTCGACCACAAGTATACATATAGTACTTATAGTATAGAAACCTCACAAAACCTTCACGACTTTCCCATCTATCTGGCTGTCTATTCGGCGTCTGCGTCATCAACGTCATTGTGGATCTGTGTGTCTAGCTGTTTATTTAGCTAATAAAAATTAAGCATTTAATTTATTTATTCAGATATGTTTGTGTGCACATGTTTTTGGTTTTTGGCAGAAACCAAACGAAACGAAACGAACGCGAGAATTTCCTACCATTATGAATGAAATTTGTATTTGTGTATTTTTGGCTATGACATAAATTCAGAGCAGAGAACCGAGAGAAGAAGACCACTTAATTCAATTGAAAATTGGTAAAACCCTCACCCGGCCAACCCATCCATCGATCAAAAAAAAAATGTTAACTTATCGGTTGAAAAGTTTTTACGCCTCTTTTATTTATTCTGCCTCTCGTTTCCGTTAGCCCCAAAAATTAACAGCCAGCAAAAAGTAAATAAACTTAAATATTTTTCGTTGGTTTATCAGTCTGCTCTTTCCCTCACCTTCTTATTTTTTCTGATTTTTTAAGCGTGTGTCAGCGTGAAAAAGAAAGCAAAAGCAGCAGGCAAAGCCCCGAAAAAACGAGCCTAATGCCTCCTCCGAGTGGGGGCCTTATCGAGCCACAAAAAAAGTATCGATGACGAAACTGCCTCACCTCGCACACTCTTTTTCCCTCTAGATTAAGACCAATACCCAACGAAAAGTGTCTAAAAATAGAGTAGAAAAACACGCTCGAGTGTCCAAAGGTTTGCCACACATCACATCAAAACAAAAAGTGTACAAAGAAAAAAGTGGGCAACTGATTAGAAGGGTTTAGCTAAAGTCAGTCGTCAGTCGACTGATTTGTGAATGGAATTCTCTGTGGATCGAGAACGGGAACGGGTTGTGATCGATCGATCTCTGGATCGTTGGATCGTTGGATCGTCGGATCGTCGGATCGGATCGAATCCGATCGGATCGTCTGGCCCGACTGATAAAGTCGATCCCTGGGCAACAATGAAACAACTTTATAAATTCACATTCTAGAATTTCTCCGGAGAGCAATTTATTTTCAATAAAATGTGATATTGTGGGGATTATCTGTCCGCCCGATCAGCAAATACCGATGGGAGACGAGGCCAGGCAAACAAACAACTTGAAATGTCAGTTAAACATTTTGTTCGGCGGACGAAAAAAAAATACGGCAACCATCTGTATATCAAATGAAAACAGGGAAATTTATTTGATTTCACTTTGACAGTTAATGCATTTATATATATTTATTTTTAGCACTCTCTGGCGAGATCAAAGCGATTCTATCTATAGAACGTTTTGTATTCTTCAATGAAATTCTAGAGGGCGAAAACAGGATGATTTGTATCGGGGATTTCTCTGGAGGATAAGCTTTTGAAAAGCAGAAAATAATAGAATACTAGTTTATGAACTTTGCAACTAATTTTCTGCTATTGGGATAAATTAACCTAATCTTACTAACACCTAAGATGTTTGAATATTTCTTTCTGATCTCTAATACTAATAATGTTTATTTTCCTGTGATGTTTAATTTCGGAAAAACATGATTGGCCCCACTATATTTCTTCCTAAACGCTGATCACTACTTATGTTTATTTGCGAAAAAGAAAAAACATGTCACGACGCAGTCATAAATTAATCAGATATTCGCATGGAATATAAACATATACACCAATTATTTCTATCAGAATTGTGCATTTCCTGGCAATCCATCTGGCCGAAGGTTAGACGCCAAAACGTGATTAACTGAAAGCGCAGAATTTGTGCGGCTATTTATCTATGTATCTACGTATCTACGTATCCGAGGGATACACTCGTACATGTACCCAGATATCTTGGCAGCTGTGGGGGCGAAACTTACATTGATTTTCAAAAGCAATCCGTGGTGCAAATTCCGTAATTTATCACCATAAATGTGTGCTGTATGTTGTGTAATCCTTTTTTTTTTCGTGGCGTATCCAAAATGTAGCGATTTGGGTATAATCCAATGGCGTTTTGGAGCGGGGGTTCTTCGGATTCTTACTCGCGATCGCGACTGCTCGATTTATTTAGCATTTATTAGGGATGATTTTTCGCTTTGCTTTCTTTCGCATTTCATTCACAAAAGTAAATTTAATTAACACAAAAACGACGCCGGCGACGGTTGTTTGATTTTGTTATTATTTTCGACAACCTCGTATTATTTTATATTCGCTGGTTTTTGGCGTGCCAAAAAAATAATAATAATCAACTTTGGCGACCGGCGGTATTGTTGTTGCTGCTGTTGCTTTCGTTGTTATTGTTGTTGTTGGAGCAGCGACGTCGACGGCGCTGCTGGCGTCGCACAATCACACACAGATACACCAACACACTGAAAGCGGGGGCCACGTCGTCGCCTGTGTGCGGCGAATGTATCTGTATCTGTGTCTCGTCTTGAGTAAAAAAATATTTTTATGCAATTTTATATATGTACATACATATATATAAAAATATTTGTGTGCGCGAGAGACTGTTGTTGTTTGAATTTGTATTTTTTTTTGTTATTTGACTTTTAACCAACACGTTTTGTATTTGATTGGCTTGAGTTGGACTTTTTTCTCTTTTTTTTTTAAATAGACGTTGTTGATTTTCTTCAAGCAATTTGCATTTGTAGGCACATGATTTCCATTGGAAGCGATTGGTTTGGTAAACTATTTCTATTTCCCAAAAATAAACACTCACTTTTCACCACACACAGAATATAATTTCAAGTGATTTTGGGTTGTTGTGTTGTATATATGGTTGTTTAGCGCGGCTTGGTAGTGTTTTGTTTTGTTTAACAGGTTATTGTTTTGCTTGATGGTTGCTTCGAAAAAAAATGTTCCAGTTTTATACAAAAAGTGGCTTGATTTTTGAGGAAATCGGAAAGACAGCGAACGCGGCAATCGCGGCCACCGCTCGTCACGAGGTTTTGAAGCGAAATGAGCCGCCGTCGTTTTAGATACATTCGCCTGAGTTTGAGTGTGTGAATGAGTTCAGTTCGACGTTCCCCCTGTTAGTACGCTGTTATCGGGCTGTTGCTCAAAATGAGCCGAATGTTAACTCACGGCGAGAGAAGAGAGACGGCGATTTCGAACTAACAACCGGCGATCACTGTCTCTTTTGATTTTTTTTGCCTTTTAATTGAACGAAATTTTTCATTTTTAAAAAGTTAGAGTGTGTGTGAGAGAGCTACTGCTGAATGGGCGTTTTACGGGGGTTTTTAAGCGGTTTTAAATGGGGTTTTCAATACTATTTTAAGCAAAAATTAATAGAAATTGGTTAAAAATATTTTATTTGTGAAAAATCCCTGAAAAACGCTTTTAAAAGGCTAAAAAACAATCACAGGAAATGCTGGCAGCGAATTGAACTCACTCACACAATGAAACTCAGGCGAATGTTTCTGGGAGAGCAAGTATCTTTCGCTCTCTTACGCGGCGAATTCGTATGCATTACAGCGATTTTTGTTGTAAAGCCAAAGGCACATGGCAGGCGATGAACGGCCTTAGTTGGAGACCCCAAGCCCCCCCAAAACCCCCTCAAACTTTTTAGTCACCAACCCATCACGAAAGAGAAAAAGAGAGAGAAACAATCTAAGAGAGAGATTGACAGTGGGAGAGCGAGAGCAACAGCGAATTTTGGTACTAAAAACCAACCGGACGTTGCCGCCCCTGGCCCCCCAAACCCGCCTTCGTCCGCCCCAGGTCCCCCTCCTCGCCGCCCTTCCCCATTCGTGTCCGTGTGCCTGTTCGTGTTTGTGTAAAAAACGGAAATTGAAAATATGCCAACTTGTAGGCGCGCTCGTTCGCTTTCAGAAGGGAGGGGGTTTTATTTTGAGTGGGGCTGGGGAGGGGGGGTCGAGGCGAATTCATGCCAGTTTCTTTTTCATTCACTTAAATTTGAAATGCAAACAGCGAACAGTTCGCAGCGCAAACAAACAACAAAGCAAAGGCAAAGGCAACAACAGCGAAATACGGCAAATACAAAAAATACAAGAAATACAGCAAAGCAAGCGACAGCTGGGCCCCCCGCAATGCGCGAGCCCCTCGCCGACCCCCCTCAACCACAGCCTCTGCCTTCAACACACAATTAACCCTTCCACACCATACAAAATTGTGTTTTTTAGGAACGATATTTATTTTATAATCTTTTAGCTCTGATTTATTATTTAATTATCTTGAAAATTAAAAAAAAAATATTAATAGATTATAATTATTGAATAAATATCATTATTAATTACATTGAAAACTGTGTATTTGTTTAAGACTGTCGTGGTATAAGTACAATGGAATTTGCTTAAGGGTAAAAGGTTCATATTTATAAAATATAAATTAATTACCGATCTTTAGGCCTTATGGGGTTAAGCAGTTGGCTTGCCTACGCGGCGAATCCCGATCCGAACAAGTTTTCCACGAATGGGTGTGCTGTCGTCGTCGCTTTTCCGGCCGTTGCGTGCATAAACTTGGTAATTTTCCCCGTCGCCAATTTGCCAATCACCTCTCGACTCTCGGCTCATTTTCCACATTATCTGCGTTTTTCCCTCAATGAAATTTTGCTCTAGCATGTTTTCACCAAATCTATAGTAGCCAGAATAGCAACAATTATGCTCCCCTTCACAGCCAAAGCTATGATTTCTAAAATATTAATTCGTTCTTTAAATACGAAACTAGAAGAAATTTCAATGTTTAACCCTAAACGGTATTTTCTTGTTAAAAAACTTATATTACGTATTACATGTGTTTTTGAAAAACACAAAATAAAATAAAATATATTATTTGTAAATAATAAGTATATTTCTCATATGAAACAAAAAAGGTACAAGAAATAAGAAACGCTGACTGCGCTGCAAACTGCATCGCGTTGGCTTTATATGAATGAAAATTACGCACACACAGGGAGAAAGTTGGGGGAGGGGTGGGTTCGAGGGGGTGGGCGTTGTGTCTATGCGTGGACAACTCAAGATGTTTCTCCATGTGTGAGTGCTTGGGTTTCCAGCCACTGCGATGGTGTACGTGAGTACGTTGCATGAGGTAAGCGCAAGATGTTGTGCCCACGTGTGTTCGTGTGTGCGTGGAAATGCTGGGCTCAGGTGAGACATGAGGGTAACATCATTCACACCAAATGGTCAAATCTCTAACAGAAACCCATTTAAAATAACTACATATATACTCATATGAATTCACTCGACATTGCATAGGTTGGTGTAAGCCTTGCTAATATTTATTTATCATCTATAAAGTCTTAAAAATATTTTGAACATAAGTTTAAAACAGTTATTTTAATACTGTTCTTTGCATTTCTAAACTGCTGACATATCACATAATGGAACCCACGATTCCAACAACTCGTGTATCTTGAGTGTAAATGATGTTGAAAAGCAAACACAACAACGCGACTGGTTGTCGTTGTTTTTGTTGTTTTACCCCCACTAGTTGTTGCTGTTGTTGTTGCTCTCGAGCAGAGTTGTCGCGGCCAAGCCATAAAAAACTATACGACAGAGCGGCGCGTGCGGTTTTCAAGCTCGACAACTCTGGTCTCGAAATCTCCAACTCAAACTCAAAACCAGTAGCACTTTTCTCGACGTCGAAACAGAGAGAGGAAAATGTGATAAATAAAATAAAATCGGGCATGGGTGTTGTCTAATAAGCCGAGCCACTCGAAGAGTAAACAAAGCGAAGCATCTTTGGGATGTGGAATCCCGAGATTAGTTTGAACTTTCCCAAAACAAAAAACAACGGGGAAGTGGAAGTTTTCGGTTACTATGGGGCGTAGTATCTGTAGAACACAAAATAAATAAATGGCATATTCCAAATAGGCGCAGATACACAGATACACGTATTTGCCATGCAAATTTCTCGCTCGCATAAAAATATCTCAATCGCAACTCTTTGCAAGAGAACACTTCGCCTTGCGGCGAATTGGCGATGGCGCTGCCTCTCTCTGTCTTACAGATACAGATACACTCGCCTGGCGTTCGGCTTCGCTTCGTTTCGTTTCGCTTCGTCTTTTTTATGAATGAAATGAACGGGCCCCGATTATAATGAATGGAATTGGAGGTCTGCCCGAAGCTCTGCCGGAGTCGACGTCGACTGCGCTGCCGGCCTCGTGGGCAAACACAAAAATTGACTTTGCAAATTAAATATATATTGTTCGCCTTTTCTTTTTTTATTGTATTATGTATATTTATTGAATATTGGTTAGCATGCAATTTTTTTTGTTAGTTAACTTCCATTGAAGAGTGCCCAAGGCAGGTATTTACTGGATGTCTTCGCCGCAGACGAGTCGTCGCCATAAATCAGAGTTACAATACGGAAAAAATACACCGAATATGGCAATTTTTTCGACCAGACTTTGCAGACTGGCTGGCATCAGTGGCGTAGGTGGGTTCTGCCAATTTTTGTAGATTACAACACCCCGAAAACGTATCAAAAAGGCATTAAAGAAATATTTTGAATCAGAAATATATATGAGAAAAAATAAATGTATGATTTTTGTAGCTCTATTCCCTCAAAAAAATCACTGGGTAATTCTCAGAATTATTTTAAGAATTATTCAATCACAAAAAAGGTAAAATTGAAGCCAACAAATGCAAAATAATAACTTAATTAAATTTATAATCATTATAGATTGTCTGGCTTTTAAATAAAACCCCTGTTCAAGATCCGAAACCCCTCCAAGATCCACTGGCTGGCATAATGAAGTCTTGACAAAATTCCAGGCTTCCTATGTGGGCGTTCCACATTTGGCCAGATCTAGTCACAAAAACTAAGCAAAAATCAAATGGAGATGGGAAAAAGAGAAACATTTACATAACACGCCTCAGTTGAAGCAAGTTGCTCAGGTTTTCCCCAGTAGACCCCCAAACATGGCCCGATGAATTGGGCCAGGCCGTATGTAAATCGAATACTTACCCCATCTAGAGAAACGAAACTTTCTACGCACTAAGCAAATTTCCTCCCGAACAACAGCATTTCGAGTATCTGTATCTTACAGATAAGAAGAATGGTTTATCAGTCGCCTGAGTCACGGGGCTAACTCGTGACTTGACCAAATGGGAAACAACAAACTCTTTTGGCATTGTCTTTGTTGTTTGCCAATATTGATAATGCCGTGGGTAAATATTTATTATTGAGGGAAATGTATTTCCTTGAAGAGATTTCGGTGGCAAATTTATAACAATAAGGTAATGTAATGGCAGTAAAATATATAAATGTTTCCCTTGACAAGATCAGCCGAATATACAATACAGTAATGGTAATTGATAATTTTTAGAATTGTTTAGTAACAAAATATTTCAAAATGTTTATGCTAATGGGAAAAATGGTTACTTACTTACTTATTTCTGAGAAAAAATGTATTGGTTTTATTTATCAGCAACTTTTGCAAATATAAATATAAATTATTTTATTAGGAAATTTGCACATCCTTTTCTTTGTTTTAAACTATAAATTGTAAAAACCACATTTCACTCCCCAAACTGTTATCAGGAAATTGTCAACATAAAATGTCAGACTTTGAGCCATACATTTGCTTCAATGGAAATTTAAAATCCAAATTTAATTACGGCCAAATTCGGAAAAGTAGGCTGAAAACTCAAAGCCAAAGTGGAAGCCGCGGCTTTCCCTCCCGTCGGATATTTGAATATCATAAGCATGAGCCGTCGGACCCCCACATGAAAAACTATTCAAAATTTGTGTTTATTTTCTATCTTCTCTCTATCAATATTTTAGCTAAACAAATTTGTGACAAACGCAATGACGACGGCAACGCCAACTCGCTTCCGTTGCCATCGAAAAAGCAAGAAAATACACTAATAAAAATGTGTGATACAAAATAATGACTACTACAATGGTTTCGAATAGAGTATATTTCAGAGAACTTAGTTTTAAAAATATAAAGTCATTAAATTTGTGCTTCTGACCTTTGTAAATAAAAAATAAAATAATAATGACTTCCTGTTCCGTCTT